GTCTCAGCGACTGTGTACTTCATCCCATGTAGAGTGGACACAGCGGCGAGAGAAGCCGTGCTCATGAGTAGGAGAATCAACACCACCACCTGTCGAACAGTTACACACGCCTTTACCATCATCATCATCATGATCATCATCTCATCATCATCATCATCATCATCATCATCATCATCATCATCATCATCATCTCCATCATCTCCATCATCTCCATCATCATCATCATCATCATCATCTCCATCATCATCTCCATCATCATCATCATCATCATCTCCATCATCATCATCTCCATCATCATCATCATCATACACAACTTCCTTCTAATTTCCCCTCTCCATCATCATCCCCCTCCTTCCCCTGACCTCCATGCGTAACTTGCAACGAGAGTGAGAAGGTGAAGCTGAGCTCCCAGCCCGAAGATGTTTCCTTCCAGCTCTAGTCCAGCAGGTTAGGTGGAGGAGCCACAATTCGAGCTCACTGAAGAGAACTTTTCGCTTCTTAGAGCAGTCGCGCGGATGTTGCAAGTCGTTCCAGGTAGAGTCCAGCAGTCGTTGAGCTCGCAACTCTTCCTCGCCTCTGCCTTCGTCCCTCGCATCGTCCTCCTCCCCTGTTGCCATCACGTGCTGTTCGTAGCGATGCCATGCCGTCGCATCCATTCGAAGGATGCGGCGAAGGAGAGGCGGAGCTCGCGAGTCGTGGAGGGTTCGGAGGAGAGCGACAGAGAGCATGAGAGACTGCATCCTCGTCTCCTCCGTCCACTCTGAGAGTCGCGTGGCAGTCTGACACAAGCGAGCGACCGAGAGGAGAGAATGTCGAGATAAAGAGAACGGAGGAGGAAAGGAGGAGTGAGAGAGCAGGGACGAGCCCATCGTCATCGCCAGCTGCAAGTACAACTTTCCCTCCCGAGGATGAGACAGGATCGCGTGCTGGAAGGCCTCGCACGCTTCGTCCTGCCTGCCAGGTCGTGAGAACCAGCGAGACAGGGAGGTAGGATGCCTGTCTTGCAAGCGAAGCAAACTACCCAGAAGCAGCAGGTTTTGCAACGTAGCAAAGCCTGGCACGGTCTGCAAGCACAATAAGAAAGAGAGGGAGAGAAGTGGCAGTGAAGATGTGAAAAGCAAGTGAGGTGGCAGGCAAGCAAAGAAATCAGAAAAGGAAAGGGAAAAGAAGGCCAGGCCAGGCAAGGCACCTCCATCCCGGCCTTCAGGATGTTTGCACTCTCCTCAATCCTGCTGTCATGTTCACAAGCTGAAGAGAAGCACAAGAGAAGCACAAGAGAAGCACAAGAGAAGCACAAGAGAAGCACAAGAGAAGCACGAGAGAAGCACGAGAGAAGCACGAGAGAAGCACGAGAGAAGCACGAGAGAGAGGAGGAGGAGGGGGGGGGCATAAGTTAAGTCTTGTGCCTTCCTCGCCTCGCTCTCCTTCTCCTTGTCCTCACCTTCCAGCAAAGCGAAGAGCAGAGACCAGGTGATGGAAGTCGTTCGCTGAGGCGTTGCTGCTGCGAATCCTGCTGCCTGCAAGGAGATGAAGATAGGAGCGAAAGAGCGAGCCTCACCGTAATGGCGAATAGCAGCACTCACATGCTCTCCTGCTCTCCAATCTGCCCGAAAGGATTCGTCATGAGGTACTGGGAGCGATGACATCACCTTCCAAAGTCTCGCTCGTGTCCTTGGCGTTCACATCCTCCGGCGCTTTTAGCCCTGGTACTCTCACAACCAACAGCAGCAGCAACAGAGTTCGCGGCAGCCGCAGCAGAGCTAGACTCCTTATCTGATACGCCAAGGTCATCCCATCATCGTCACCACAGCAATCTCCATGTGAATCTCTCATCTCTTTAGTCTTCACCGCCATCATTCCCTCCATCTCCACCTCCATCTCCATCTCCATCTCCATCTCCATCTCCATCTCCACCTCCATCTCCATCTACATCTCCATCTCCATCTCCATCTCCATCTCCATCTCCATCTCCATCTCCATCTACATCTCCATCTCCATCTCCATCTCCATCTCCATCTACATCTCCATCTATGTGATTGGTTCACTTCACCATGTCTCATCTTCGCAGGTTTTCGCCGCATCTTGGTCGGCGTTGTACATGAAGGATTCTGTTGATCTCAAGTTTGAGGTCGCGCGGACAATTGGAAAGAAAACATTTTAACTTTCAGAAACGGTTTGTAACGGTAAGCTTACAACCTCTCTGTTCCCTTACTTACCACCCCTGTCACGACGACTACCCCTCTTTTTCGCACTCTCTACCCCCTTCTAGGCCTGAACTCGAGGCTGCGCTGTTGCTCTGTGGATACCCCTACCCCTAAAAAACCTAGCAAAAGGGGGGTAGTCCACTGATCCTCTACATGTTCAAACGACCCACTTTATGCCTAAATCGCGGGGTCCATCACCCTACCTCCCAGATAGCTGGCGGCTACCCTCGCTTTCATGACCCCTACCTACCTGATATCTGCTAACTACCCGGTTCTTGAAAGGCAAATATAGTACCCCCCACCCACTTTGTTAAAAAAGGTTTCGTCGCCATGCTCCTCGGCCGTTCGCTTCTGCGGCTTTCATGCGGGGCTCGTGGGGCCCTGGGGTTTTCCTCTCTCCCCCTTCGCCCGCTCCTGTCAAGCCAGAGTGAGTCCTTCCTGCCAACTCTTCTCCCCTCTCCCGCTCCCCTTCCCTTCAAACCTTCTCCTATCCCCCGTCGCCGTTTCGGTGTGGCCAGAATGATCGATTTTCCGAGTTCCACAATGTTGTTTGAAAAGATTTGTGAATAGTCTAGTGCATTTGATATGCTGGATTGTGAAGCCTTATGTGTATCAACCTGAGGATCAGCATCTCCTTGAGAGAATAGCCAACGGATGGATGTACCTTTCTGCAAGCACCTCGTCATAACTTTTTAATCTCCAGGCAGAGGATTGCAGAGTGACGCCAAGGTTGTCTCCATGACGACCAACAGCATCCATCCTGTTACCATCAAGACGCCAGGAGGAGCCATGCCGGGAACTGATGACTATGGTGCGGTGTCATGTCGAAGCACCTAACGACGCTCACGGAAATGGCAGCTCTCGACGCTTACTCCGGCAAGGATGCGCTTCCGAACCAGGGAAGGCTGCAGCCTGGAGATCCTTCTCGTCGTGCCTTCGCTTACTTCATGATGGGAACCGCAAGGTCTGTGAGGCGGCATGTGCAGCTTGGCCGCCAAAAACTGCATGGCTGTTGGTGACAAGCTTGGTAGATTCTTCTACGCCTCAGCAGCTCGCCTTGCCGTGCTCAAGTTCGTGCACTATATGAACGCCTCAGCGGACGTGCTGGCCCTGGCATCCATTGAGGTTCCTGTGGATGGAATTCCTGCAGGAGGATGTATCGTAGTCAAGTAGGGGTTGAAACGCGCGCTGCTTTTTATCTCACGTTGGTCCAGGTGGAGAGGGAAACCTGTCTTCATCAAGAAGCGAACGCAGGAGGAGTTGGATGACATCAACGCGGTCGACTGGAAGTCATTGAGGGACCCGCAGTCCGACAAGGCTCGTCGCATCAAGGAGGAGGTTTGTCGCCTCTCCTCGCCGCTGCTCCTCACTGGCTTCAGGTTCTCATCGTGCTCGGAGTTTGCACGCATCTTGGTTGCGTTCCCATCTCGAACGCGGGTGACTTCAAGGGAGGTTGGTTCTGCCCCTGCCACGGCTCCCACTACGACGCGTCCGCTCGCATCCGAAAGGGGCCGGCCCCGCTTAACCTCGAGGTGAGGAGAGAGCTAGTGAGGAGGCGAGGTGAAAGGCTCCTGCAGGTCCCTCCTTACGAGTTCATCGATGGTGACAGCAAGGTGAAGATTGGATAAGATCGACGAGAGGAGGCGGAAATAGTTTGTAGACTTGGAGCCGGAAGGATTTTACTTGTGAACTAGCGCTCTTGATGGCATCCTTGACGAAGTTGACGGACGAGGGCGGAAGGAGGAAGCTCTGAACCTAATTCTCCTCTGCTGTCTTTCACTATTCCCCTCCCACCTCCTACATTGTTCGCTCCATCCCGATGATCCTCACACGGTGAAAGGACAGCGGGAAGAACGAACGGAGAATGAGCAGACAGCGAAGGTACAAGCCCTTGGCTGTTCTTCAGCCTCTCTGCTTCCTTGACCCTCTCCTTGCTGCTCTCTCCCATCAGACAGCATCGACCGCGCTCGTCTAGCATGAAAACGCTTGATACTCTTGCTCTTCGTCGCATCTTTCATATCATCCGCGCAACAGACTCTGATGTTTGCCATTCACAGTGCTAACACGACGGTGAGATAAAAGAATCTCAGCTGGAACGTTCTGAGAATTCATGTGTTAGAGAAACATCTCGATTCGTGTTCGCATTTACTTGTCTCACCTCTTCCTAGCATCAGCTGTGACGGGATGGCACGGCGCTGCCTTTCATAGACGGTGTTTGATGAGTCACTAGGCTGGTTGGGCTGAGGGAACTTGAGCAGCAACTTCAACTGGTTCAGATGCTAGACGAACAGTCAGACGCCTCTCCCCTCCCTCACGCTCTGTGACCATGCTGAGAGGCTCCCCTGACCGGTCACGTAACACATCATGTGACCGAGACAAGACTCTTTT